GTTTTAGGGCTGGGAGGATATTTGTCGTCTCACGATGGACTTCCCCGATCTGTTTGGAACGCTCCCGAAAGACATCCAAAAGCGGGCTGAACAGTGGCATCAGGTGAGATCACACTCGGCGATCCATTGCTCGTCATTGAATGTTGAGTGCATTGCCCAGCGAATGCCCGTTCCATAAATTTGGTGTATATTGGATCCAAATGCCTCCCAGACACCCTACGTTATTGTTCCGAAGATTACAAGTTGATGTCTGAGGGTATGTACCGACTGTCTGTAGGCTGTCCAAGCGGTGCGTTGTTCTCGAGTGGCTTTCAGTGACCCTGTTTCTGTGACTGTCTGATACTCTGCCGATAGTGGTACTCGAGCGAGCGTCCCGAGGCCGAAGAGCTGCCGGGCGTGTACGAAAAGCGCTGCACGCCGTTCCAGCGCCTGATGGTGCTGAGGTCGTTCCGCGTCGACCGCGTCTACCTGGGCGTCACCGACTACGTCAGCGAGATCATGGGAGAGAAATACGTCACGCCGCCCGTGCTCAGGTCCTGACATGGCTGGTTAAACTTGCGTGTTTGTTCATATTCAACAGGAAATAATTTGAAGAACGGGCTGGACCGATGAAACTGAAATTATGTTTTTAGTTGTCATCGTATGTATTGTTGGCAGATTTGAGGCGATCCTGGAGCAGTCGGCTCCGACCACGCCGGTGGTGTTCATCCTCTCTCCGGGCGCCGATCCGGCCGGAGATCTGATGAAACTGGCCGACAGAAACGGCTTCGGCTCCAGCCGCATCAAGTTCCTGTCGCTGGGACAGGGCCAGGAGGAGGTACAACTTACCTAGTGGGAGCCACGATTGTCGCTCTTTTCAAGGGCCGCTGCAGCCCAGTGTGTTTCTACCGTGCCACTCTTCAAATTGAATAGTTACGGCCGTATGTCGTAAGCTTTAGTAACCGTAGCGAGCAAGTACTTGATAATAGTGACACAAATTAGCGTGGGAGGTAGTTCCGCCGCCCTGCGAACGACAGTTAGTAATGGTAATGGATGGAGTGTGTATGGCTGCCATCTACATAAAGCAGGCAGTGGTTGATACGCGGACTGTGCGCCGTCAGGTGGCGATGCGGCTGATGGAGGCGGCGGTGGCGCGCGGCCACTGGCTGATGCTGCAGAACTGTCACCTGCTCGTCAGCTTCCTCAGACAGCTGGAGAAGGAGGTGGAGCGTCTGCACAAGCCGCATCCCGACTTCAGACTGTGGCTCACCACAGACCCCACGCCCGGCTTCCCGATCGGCATTCTGCAGCGCTCGTTCAAAGGTAGGGCCCAACCGGCCGACTGAAGGCGAGACGCCGTGTTACAATGCAGAGATTTGACATTCCGTAAGAGTTGCTCGGTATTCCGTAACCGTGTCCGTGACTCGACTTGCGGTAAAAATATATCATTGGCATTCTAGCCGTTTTGTTCTGCAGTGTTGGAAATATACCGGGAATAATTCATTTCTTCGATTTGCAGAACAATCACAACCCAATGTGTGATCGGCTCTGGACTTCGCTGGAAAGCTGATGTGTTGAATAATTGCATCTTGTTTGATGTTGTGTGTTTCACCTTCGTCTCCGTGCAGTGGTGACGGAGCCGCCGAACGGTCTGAAGCTCAATCTGCGCAGCACGTATTTCAAGATGCCCAGCGCCGTGCTGGACACCAACTCGGAGCACCCGGCCTTCCCCACGCTGGTCTACGTGCTCAGCTTCTTCCACGCCGTTATACTGGTCAGCAGGGATAGCACAGCTATCATGTATCCGAGCTTAACTACTTATAGTGTCCTTCGTATTGTATTTACTTGTAGCATTGGTGGGATCCTTCCGAAACATTAATTATCGCTTTGTGACGATAAGCTACTCACTTGAATGTCGCGTTTTACTGGCTTATTTTTTCCTTGGGTTCTGGACTTTCCGACGTCCTTCCCGTTACGTCTATTACAGGAGCGGCGCAAGTACGGACGTATTGGCCTGAACGTGGCCTACGACTTCAACGAGTCGGACTTCAACGTGTGCTTGGACCTGCTGACTACCTATCTGAACAAGGCGCTCGAGTCCAAGGACACACGCCTGCCCTGGGGCAGTCTCAAGTACCTAATGGGAGAGGTGCGCATCTCCAATATTTGCTTTTCCTTGTCATTATAGCGCATAAAACTAGTGTACTCAGCACTTAGCCAATAACCCGTCGTGTCTTTAACGGTCACGGTGCCAAGGTTGTCGTGTCCTTTACTGTGTCCCAATTCCCAGGTGATGTATGGAGGCCGTGTGATCGACGACTTTGACCGACGCGTCGTCTCCACTTACATGGACGAGTACATGGGAGACTTTCTGTTCGACACCTTCCAGCCGTTCCACTTCTACCGAGACGGTCAGGTGAGTGACGCGGGTCAGCCAACCGCCGGGAGCCGGTCAGCGCCGGATAACGGCTATAGAGGCAGTCACGCCTGACTGCCTGAGGTTTTATTGGTGATCGCCACTGTTACATAGTCCGCGGTTATCTAGCGCATTGGTAGTTCGGCGTATCCTCTGAGGCGGTGTTTTGTTCGACTCTCGGAGCTGAGGTAATTATGGTGAAGATTCCGTCCATGCGAGTTGTGCGACTAATGTAGTTCACTGTCCCAGCTCTAATCTAGTCCTCGTGGATGGCCGTCTGTTACCAGGTGGACTACACGATCCCGGAGGTGGGTAACCGGGACAGCTACATCGCCAGCATCGAGGAGCTGCCGCTGGCCAGCGGGCCGGAGGTGCTGGGACTGCACCCGAACGCCGAGATCGGCTACTACACGTTCTCAGTGCGCGACATGTGGCTGCACCTGGTGGAGCTCCAGCCGCGCACCGGTACGGCCCATACGCCTGACACGCTGCACTGAGGATAAGCTGTGAGGAATGGTCACTACTATTTTATCATACAGTCAGTCATTTTTACGAAATATTGACATTGACCCCTTCTGTTTCAGGTACGAGCGACTCTGGGGTCAGCCCGGAGGCGTTTGTCGGTAAGCTGGCGTCGGACATTCTGTCTCGGATGCCGGTCGTGACGGACCTGCGCCGGCTGCGGCGCCAGTACGCCGCCAGCATGACGCCCACCACTGTGGTGCTGCTCCAGGAGCTCGAGAGGTTCAACTACCTCATCGTCAAGATGCAACAGACGCTCTCCAATCTCGGCAAGGTGATACAGCAAGAAATTGGACCAATTGTGTACCCAGGGAACAGTATTATTTCACTTTTCATTTGCCTTGACGAACATGATAAGACAAACGGTTTGTTTCTCGGCGCAACGGTCGGCGGACTGACTGTGACTTTTGTCCACAGGCTCTGGCCGGTGAGATCGGCATGGATGCCGAGCTGGACAACGTGTTCCGCTGCCTTTACAACGGCCAGCTGCCGGACTCGTGGCGCAAACGGGCGCCGATCACGTGCAAGTCGCTCGGCGGCTGGATGGAGCACTTCCAGCGGCGCGTCCAGCAGTACAACGACTGGGTACGATCTGAGGGTCGCGTGACGGCTCACGCATATTGTGTGTATTGACCAGTCGTGGTACTTGTCGCTTCCTTTCTGTTCGCTTTTGTTTCTTGGGTCTACCGCTTTAGGTTTTTCACGCATATTGGTAAGAATTTGATTATCAGCGTTGTTTACCTAGATCCTGTTCGGTGCTGCTTACTATAATGCTGCTGGATGTTACATGCATTAGCTGGAAAGGTAATGTCCCGCTGTTATTTATTTATTTTTTCAGATCAACTCTGGCGAGCCGCAGGTGATCTGGCTGTCGGGTCTGGCCATCCCCGAGTCGTTCCTGACGGCTCTGGTGCAGGCCACGTGCCGCAACTCGGGCTGGCCGCTCGACAAGGCCACGCTGTTCACCCAAGTGACGCAGCACTCCAACATGGAGGAGGTGCTCGAGCGACTCACCGGGGTGAGTCGGATGAGAGCAGAAGTGGATAGGTTGACTGTGAGGGCCGTTTGGATGAAGTTTGTCTGGATACAGTTAATCGGCATAAAGGATGTTCAAAAACAACTTTGCTGGTTGTTCGGTTGTCAAGTTCTACCGGAGTGCATTTACTATCTTTTTAATTTTTAGACAGGCATTACAAAAATGTCTAATTAAAACAAACCATGCCCTCCAAAAGTCAGCTCAGGGTGTGACTGGGATGTGACAGTGTCTGCTGTCTGGTCGGTGCAGGGCTGCTACGTGGAGGGCCTGTACCTGGAGGGAGCTGGCTGGAACATAGAGGAGGGCCACCTGGAGCGGGCCAAGCCCGGGGAGCTGATCCAGGAGCTGCCCATTCTGAAGGTGGTGCCTATCGAGGTGCACAAGCTCAAACTGCAGGTCAGTCGGGGAAGGGGTGGCTATGTTGTCAACGCCAGCCCCGAGACTTTCGTAGAAGTTTGCATGCAAGGTCTTACATTGTTATTCAGGATAAGCTTTTCAGGGTGTATGGGTCATTTGTTTTAATTCCGTTCCATTGTTTATACTAAATAGCTGATAAGGCAGTCGCCGGTCTGTTCCTGACGGCGCGGCGCCCTCTCGCTGGGTGGACAGGACACGTTCCGCGCGCCCGTGTACGTCACCTCCGATCGGCGTAACGCCGCCGGCGTCGGCCTGACGTTCGAGGCGGACCTCTACACCAAGGAGCACCTGTCGCACTGGACGCTGCAGGGCGTCTGTCTGCTGCTCAACACCGACTAGTCGCCCGGCACGGGACCGCGCCGCCTCACTGAACAGGTGAAGCTTTGCCAGAGAGATCTGGGGCAGCGCTGGGGGATAGGGGACGGTGCTCAGTGCTCTGAGGCGTCCTCCGCTGCAGACGAGCCATGCGAGCAGCGACCTGAGATGTGATCTCGAGAACGAATCGATTCTAGTCGATCTCAGTTTTGTTGTATTGTATTGTTGTGTAGCGACTGTGTGTACAAATCATGGACCAATCTACGCTGTGAAGCCATTAACTACGACGTCCGATGATGCGTAGCAAAAGTTGTGTTTGTATTAAAATCATGTATTCATTATTCAGCAATAATATAATGTCTTATGCAGCATCATAACGTTTTTTATGCTAACAAGGGTCTACGATAATGGCCGTATTCTGTCATGCAAAAGCGCTTCTTTCGGCCAAATTACCTGGCAACCTGGTATAATCACATTTGAGCCATTTTCTAATAGGGTATGACATGAGACGACTATGGTATACGCGGTGAATCACCCGATCGGCTAAGGAATAACAATGAATGTAACTAAACAAACAATCAACATTCTACACACGGGAGGGACGGAGTGGCAATATGCCGGTACTGGACCTCGACCTGAGGCAATACAACACTGGTGTACGAATAAAAAAGTACAAACAGGCCCACAATCGCCCATAAGTCGGCGGCTGGCCCACAGTCAGAATGCCGCTGAACGGTTCAACATTTTCGAACTGCTGTGGCTGCAGCAGCCGTCACTGACCACTGCGTTCCGGTTGTAACCCTGAGAAGGTTTTGGACCTGGCGGATTCTGAGCCACTTTCCTTGCGTACACAACTCGGCGGACTCCCCGGCCGTTGAGAGTGCGGTGTCCGTTGGACTGGCTGGCTTCAGCGTGACCCCGCCCTGAGGAAGGTGCGAACCGGAGTCTGCAGATGATGCCCTTGTCGCACCGCCGATGAACCAGCTGAAGACTGAGACGTCGGCCTGTCGACATAGTGCATGGATTAGGATGGCTGATCGCCGCAACTGATTGAAAATGTCGCGGATCTGAAACTATTCTTCCATTTCTGTAACATCGGTTTTTGCTTTTTATACTGCAATCATTGAGAGAGATTGTCGCAGTTCTTCAGTTATTATGGTGCAAACTATTGGCCGAAATACCCTGTTAAAGCTTCATAAAAATTGGACAATTCAAACCGTTCCATCAATGCTCGTATGAAATAATGGCATAACTTCTATACCCATTTGCTTTTCTTGGTATTGAGGACGTTTTCAAATGTGACAAGCACATAAGACCTGTCACAAACTTCCTCGATAACAGTCAGTCCTTACCGTGGCGCCTACTCGAAGTCCGTCTGCGCGCCCCAGCCCTGTCGGCAGAAGACGCACTCCCTGCCCCGGTAGCGCTCTATGGCGGTATCGAGCAGCTGCAGCAGGCGGAGGGCCTCGGCGTTCACCAAATCGGCGCCACTCGTGTCCAGGCTACGCCGCTTGAAAAAGCCGTTCCAGCCGTCCTGTCAGCAGAGAGCAAAACCTGACGTCAGGTGGTCACCGGTACTTATCATGCAACGCTTGGTATTTAACTTTGTGATAAAATCCATGAGCAAGAGGGATGATCTTGGTGGTAGGTAATTTTGCTGAAGACTTTATATTTGTGAACGTCATGTCGCATTTTACAGCTTTGATAAATGGACTTACGCTAGCCACGGCGTTGAGGGTGACTAGCAGAATGTAGCCGATCACCGATGCCACGGCGAAGAGGTACGTCAGGAAACGCAGCACGCCGTCGAACGTGACGAAGCGCGGCCACTTGAACTTGGACCTCGTCCTCTTCTTCTTCTTCTTCTTCTTCTTCTTCTTCTTGGGGCGGCTTTTGTAGCCGTGGCCGTGGCCGCCACCACTCGAGTCGCGTGACCAGATCCTGCCGGAATACAGCGTGAGTTGACAGTCATTGGTGGTTTGCTAAGCTCAGGATTCAGACGAGGTGGCAACAGTCGCGTCGTAAATATCGGGCTTATGAAACATGGGTCACTGAAGCGTAATGCGCACTGAAGCAAGTATCAGTGGATGACCAATGACAAGATAAATCAAGTAGGATACAGTAATATGAGGCTCCCATCACAATTAAAAAAAAACTAACTGGCCGATAAGGTTGTGTCGTGTGATTTCGAGGGTATGAGCTGGCTCAGCGTGCCGCCCGGCCCGGCCCGGCCCGGCCGGCCGGTCGCCTCCTGACGGTATAATGGTGGGAGCGTGCCGCGGAGGCGGGCCGGGCGGCGATTTTGGTCCGCGGTATCTGACCCAATTAGCTCCCGATCGGGCTGATAGTGCTGTCGGCACACTTCTCCAGTGAACGATGGTCTCTTGAAAACGGCCAAAACCATAGTCAACTGACCACAGGAAGAGCATGAAAATGTAAACGAAGAGCGAGGGAAAATAGAAAGATGGAACCACAGATGGTCTAGTTTTTAGGACAGGTTGTAAAGCCGCGCCTGTATCCTTGTGAACCTGCTTTGATTTTCGTTAGTCCAAATTCGTCGAAGTGGAACACACGGTTCCAGGCCCATCTGTGGCCATCCATGCGTAACCGCATAGGTTGGCTACTACAATTGCTATTAGAGCTCTGTTTTGAGCAGTGATATCTCGCACCTTGTATTTGAGGTTTCACTGGTAACAACTTGTATGTATGAATAGAGTGAGGCTCTGCTGGAAATCCCTTTAATACCAATACGGGTACTTTTAACGGTGAGCTAGGCTCTCCTGATTCGGACAGTGGAGAGCATCACAAACGCTCTTTTAACATTTACCCTTGCCAGCCACGGACAACATCCATTGTTATCTCAGATGAGAGGAATTTTGGTCTGACGAAGCATGTTACCCCTTCACTGAAAAGAGCATTCAGCATTGTTTAATTAAAGGAACTATCCCACCTTCTAAAATGTTGTTAAAACCAGTTAAATTGTGCCCGACTTTATAGATTGGATGACCAGGAACACGGTTCTGGCATTTATTTTTCATTAAACATCTTAGGCTTCCCATATTCCAAACACAAACTTTCAAATATGCGACGTCACAGCCCAAAATTACCTCCTTCCCCAGGCCACAGTACTGTCATAAAGCTGATTCTTTTTACTCTGTAGGCACCACAACAAAGTTCAGACCAAGTTTTAAGCGATTTTTCAACGAACAAACCCATTTAAATCAGAATGACTAAACGAGGTGACGTCACACTAACGGTCGCTCCATGTTGAAGATAGGGCCTTATCGCAAGGCCCATTTTCAAATGAAGGGAACGAATTTCTTCAACACCAAGAGGCCGCGGGGGTTGCAACCTAGATAGATAGTGGTTTCTGAACCTCGCCGCAAACTTGGCTATCTCAACTCAAACCCCATGTTAAAGGTGGGATAGTCCCTTTAATCGCGCTCTATCTGGGGCATAACTGTGAACCTACATGTGACGCGAGGAGATGCCTATTGCGTGTTTTTCTTGCCACGATTACGAGTATGACTGATCTGTCATGGTTCCCAGTTGCTAAGAAGTCAAACAGTTGGGTGGCTACCCAATTATCAACATGGAACTCACTGCATCTGGCTCAATCAGGGTCTATTGTGTACCGAAGCATCCATGCAACGCTTGCGCTGAGAACCACACAGTGTCATGACATACAATTTACATTGCCTACGCCTAATAATTATCCGCACTAAAGGCTCCGAACCTTCCTCAGACGTGGTTTTGGTTTTAGATGTGTTATAAAATATATGTGGACCCGTACAAGTTACACCGTGCTGAACGCTCTTATTCCGAAGACAGCTTGTTAACGATTGTCTTCAGACATAAGTGCGACGAACCTTTGGTGTTTCAGAGCGTGACGGCCCCGTTAGTCCGAGATACATATTTGTCGGGTCGCCCGATTCCGGAGACGTTCGTCTAATTTCTTGCCTGATCCGAGTCGGACCGATGCCAAAGGTACGCGTCAACTTTGTTTATGAAACAGTCATAGACATGTTGGCTTATACATATGGCGTTTGGGTAACTGGCTGCCTAAGTCATTGCCGGAACTTGGGAAATTGGGTCATTGAAGCTGCACTGTACGTCTGTACGGGTGAAGGTTAATACTTGTGTGACGTCAACTAGCAGTCCAATCATTTACACAGTTTATTTAAGTAATCCATCGTCGTTTTCGCATATTACCTAGGTAGTTTGCAACAACCCTAGGGAGTTTGCAAACTAACTAGGAACTTTGCAAACTACCTGTTCGACCAGGTACTTTTCAAACTACCTAGGGAGTTTGCAAACTACCTGATCGTTCAGGTAGTTTGCAAACTCCCTAGGTAGTTGGCAAACTAACTTATTTCTCATACTCCCTGTAACATATATGTTACAGGGAGTATGAGAAATCAGTTAGTTTGCAAACTACCTAGGGAGTTTGCAAACTCCCTGAACGATCAGGTAGTTTGCAAACTCCCTAGGTAGTTTGCAAAGTACCTGGTCGAACAGGTAGTTTGCATACTCCCTAGGTAGTTTGCAAAGTCCCTAGTTAGTTTGCAAACTCCCTAGGGTTGTTGCAAACTACCTAGGTAAAATGCGAAAACGACGAAACAACAGCCATATACGAGTACATATGTAGATAAGACGCGATGAATTGGTTCAGAGCTCAGAATGAAGCTTGGCAGCAATGGTGCATAACGAGACGATGTAGTGTTTTGATGACGCTCTTTCGCAGCTTAGTGCGATTTAGAGCAGCTATTTATTTTTGTCTTGCTCGCAAATATCACCTTACAGATTAATGTCTGCCTTTTTTCTTGTAGTCGACAACATGTTACGTTGCCATCCACCTTCTTTCCTTGGACGTCAGCGGCCTCTCCTCCACCGGTCTGGCGTCCATCAGAAAGCGGATGACGTCGCCATGTTCGGCGTCTTCCACGACTCGAGTTATTGCCGCTCAACGCTTCCTCCCACTCCTGGAACTTCTGATCGAACAGTTCGCGAGACATCCCCACAGAACCACAGAGCAACCACAGAACAGAAATTGCGATCACTATGCTGCCTCTTCACACTCCGCTCAGCACTGATGACCCGCCTGCACTGAGCACCGTCCACCAGCCGTGACCCGACAGCGCCTTTCATCCGTATCCCACAGGCACAGACTGACCTGTCCTGTCAAGCTCGGAGCAGTCGACTGCTGGCTACCTGGATCGGGCGGAAGCGTGGCGTTGGGTTGCCTAAGATGACATCCTGATTTCTAACCCGCGCCCCGTAGGGGGGGGGGGAAACGCCCCCTGTCCTTTTCCGTCAATATCTCCTAAACGGCTGCAGATATCGCCACTAAACTTTCAGGACTTCTTCGGGCATCAATTTTACACATTGTGACCAAAAATATTTCCAGAGGCTATGATAGGTTGGCCACAAATGACGTCACAATGACGTCATGTTTTGCCATTTTCGACCAAAAAGGGGCTTTGCGAGAAGAGCTGTCAGGCCTACAGCTTTGGAGATACAGAAAAATGATAAAAAACAAAAGGTGTGGAATCGACAGTGCTACAAAACCGCTATCACATATTTTTTGAAATTTTTGATTTTTGACCCCCAAAAATGTTTTTTTATATTTTACCCAATAAATCATTTTTTTTTAATTTTGGAAAAACCGGAATATAAATGCTAGTACCTACCGTCTTCTATCAGTTCTATCTACATACCAAATTTCAGATCGATACCTCTTTTTTGGCCAAGTTATAGCGAAAAAAAAACTGTTCAAAAATGATGACGTAAAATTTGTAAGCTCAATTTCTGGCTACTTTGCTATCTGAGGTCACTGATACCAGGTCAGGTCACAGAGCAGAGGTCAGGTCACTGGGGGTCACAATATGAAAGTGTCGTGTCATACATGTTTTATGGTCCATTTTACATGACAAATGCGAATATGTGGGTCAGGCAGCCTTTGGGGCCAGCTTAGGTTACGTTCTGGTGAAGGTCAGGTCAAGATCAGGTCAAATTAGGTCAAATTTTAAAGTTGATATTTTGCATAAAATGGGTATCGATTCGATGCAGCTCGTCACGGTGAGTCTAATGGTGGTCTTTGTTTTTGACCTACGTGTTATAGAATTCCCAAAAATTGAGTTCGAAAATTTTATGTAATGATTTTTGAAATTTTTTCGCTATAACTTGGCCAAAAAAAAAGAGATATCCAACTGAAATTCGGTATGTAGATAGAAGACGGTAGTTTTTTTTCAAAACTAAAAAACATTGATTTTTTGGGGTAATATATCCAATGTCATTTTTAATTTTGGGGGATCAAAAAAAAAATCCGAGATAGCAGTTTTGTAGCCCTGTCAATTTCACACCATTTATGTTTTATCATTTTTCTGTATCTTCAAAGCTGTAGGTCTGACAGCTCTTCTCGCGAAGCTCTTTTTCGGTCGAAAATGGCAGAACATTACGTCATTCTGACGTCATTTGTGGCCAACCTATTATAGCCTCTGGAAATATTTTTGGTCACAATGTGTAAAATTGATGCCCAGAGAAGTCCTGAAAGTTTAGTGGCGATATCTGCAGCCGTTTAGGAGATATTGACGGAAAAGGACAGGGGGGGGCGTTTCGCCCCCCCCCCCCCCTACGGGGCGCGGGTTAGAAATCAGGATGTCATCTTCAGTCAACCCAACACCCCGCTTCCACCCGATCCTGGTAGCCAGCAGTCGACTGCCCTGAGCTTGAAAGGTCAGGTCAGTCTGTGCCTGTGGGATACGGATGGAAGGCACTGTCGGGTCACGGCTGGTGGACGGTGCTCAGTGCAGGCGGGTCATCAGTGCTGAGCGGAGTGTGAAGAGGCAGCATAGTGATCGCAATTTCTGTTCTGTGGTTGCTCTGTGGTTCAGTGGGGATGTCTCGCGAACTGTTCGATCAGAAGTTCCAGGAATGGGAGGAAGCGTTGAGCGGCAATAACTCGAGTCGTGGAAGACGCCGAACATGGCGACGTCATCCGCTTTCTGATGGACGCCAGACCAGTGGAGGAGAGGCCGCTGACGTCCAAGGAAAGAAGGTGGATGGCAACGTAACATGTTGTCGACTACAAGAAAAAGGCAGACATTAATCTGTAAGGTGATATTTGCGAGCAAGACAAAAATAAATAGTAAGAAGGCAGAAGCACTGAGCTGCGAAAGAGCGTCATCAAAACACCACATCGTCTCGTTATGCACCATTGCTGCCAAGCTTCATTCTGAGCTCTGAACCAATTCATCGCGTCTTATCTACATATGTACTCGTATGTGGCTGTTGTTTCGTCGTTTTCGCATTTTACCTAGGTAGTTTGCAACAACCCTAGGGAGTTTGCAAACTAACTAGGGACTTTGCAAACTACCTAGGGAGTATGCAAACTACCTGTTCGACCAGGTACTTTGCAAACTACCTAGGGAGTTTGCAAACTACCTGATCGTTCAGGGAGTTTGCAAACTCCCTAGGTAGTTTGCAAACTAACTGATTTCTCATACTCCCTGTAACATATACATTGTAAATTGTGATAACTTACGAGATACCAGTTTTCCCGGTATTCTTTAGACTGATACTCATGAGCGATTGACGCTGACTGTGCCCCGACAGTCCCGATCGGCTCTGACGTTCGACCTATCTTAGCCGTCATTCGTCCGTTCAGCTGTCAATAATCTGTCTGGGTTGATATCAGTACCGCCGGGGCTGGTCACGGCTGTCGAGCGGTCGACTGTGCCTGGAGCTCACTCACGGTGGGAAGGAACACACCGAACACGCTCGGAGCTCATGGACCATCACCCTGTGCTGCGGTCTGATCCGTCACTGTTAATGGTGATATGGACTGTCGGTCCGTGGGCCATGAAATCTATCAAACCGTCGAACATTGAAGGTTCGATTTAGTCAGACGCGGCTCGCCCCTTTCGCATGGTGTTACTGTGTAGTCGTCTGCTGTGAATATGGAATTCAACGTCTTATTCAAGCCTTACTTCTTATTTGACTCAATTCTTCTTATTCAACATAACGTTAGACGAGGTCAGAAACCCGGCCTTTACTTACGTCCGGGTATCTAACATCCTGATAGCTACTTCAGAGGAAAAGACTTATTCGGTCACCCGTCTGATGGAGCGCCCGTCCAACGTTGCAGGGCAGGTAGTGTGCTCAGTCACGGGATGATGGCTGGATCAGTCGCGGGCAATACTGGGGCAAAATGGATGTCTACCTATTGTGTCAATAACGGCCGGGTCGGAGCCTTACCTGCGTATCATGGCCTCGGCGAAGTCGAGCACTCTGGAAGACATCGACTTGCTCGTCTTCGTTTTCTTCTTACGTCTCCGTTTGGGCCGTTTGGTGGTGTGCTCATGACTATAGTCGTAGTCGTAGTAGTCGCCGTAGTCGTCCGAGTCCCTGTTGTAGGTGTTGGTCAGTCCGTGCTGGTGGCTGTCCCCCCGCGAGTAGGAGGAGTAGGTGTCCACCTCGCCGCCGTGGTGGTGGCTGTCCCCCCGCGAGTAAGACGAGTACGTGTCCACCTCCGCGCTGCCGCGGGAGCCCGTCGCCGAGCCGTAGTCGCTGTAGTCGTTCCGGGTGCGGTAGTCGTTGTTGTACAGCCGGTCGTAGCTGTCCAGCCGACCCCGGTGGCCCGTCTGACTGTAGTCCCTCCTGGCGTTCTCGCTAGCCGGACTGGTCCTGTAGTAGTCGTCGTACGCGCGGTCCAGGTTCAGGAACGACTTGTCGATGGGGATGTAGCGGTAGACGATCTGTTTGTGCGCGGCCGCGTGGGGCAGCTCCTGTTTCTGCTGGCTGGCGCCGGCAGAGGACGATGCACCGACCGCCGCGGCACCGACGGCGGCCGCCAGCAGCAGCGCCGGCAGGCCGCGCCGCGCCGACATGGCGTGCTGCCGCCGCCGCATCGGAGCGTCGAGTGGCGGCCGGCTGGACGTCCTGCGTCCTCCGTCGGTCGGCCCGGCCCCTAATTGGTCGGCCCGCCACCGTCGATGTCCCGGTTCGACGCCGGCCCGTCCCACTTGTCCTGCGGCCCGGCGCGCGCCGCGCCGCCATCCGCCGCCCGCCCGGCGTCCTACACCGTCCGGCCGCCACATACCGACCGACCGCACGCCGTCTGTCGGCCGCCGGCTGTCGGATTCCATTGTCGCTCACAGCTCATATGTCACCCGGCGGGGCCACCAGTATGGAATCACGTTACGTCCTGGCGCATTCTGGGCCATCCCGCAGCGTCATTCAGTCTGAGTGCTTTCCGGCGGTATCGTCCTTTACAATGCTGACCAAATTATTGCGAGTCGCTTGTAGCGGCGTAATGTCTGATAAGTTCCGCATCAAACCGGCCATAGGTACCATAGTCCTGGACCACGCTCAGATCGGAGAAAATGATCGGGCTATCTTCTGGCCATTCAGTCTTTTCCGCTTCCTCGGTTTCGTGCGGTCCTATTCACATCGGATCATAGTGGATCCTGTAGGTAGTGCCGGTTCAGGAAATATGTCCTGGCTTCGCCATGGCTGATCCAGCCCGGTAAACTAAAACTTATTTACAACATATCGGTTCTGTCGTGTGTAAAAGCCTGATCTGTAACTTTGAATCATTTGTTTGAATACTATCCGCCCCCCACCCCCACCCCTCATGTCTCATAAACTCTTTGTTAATCTTCCCAGTGTTATTGTGGAGTGGGGCGTTGCAGTTCCTTATCGCTGTCGCCTGCCCGGTGCTTGTGTCGTGTGGGGCGTTGCAGTCACTGGTGCGCGCAGTGCTAGTATCTTGTGCTGAGTCCTCGTAGTCTCCAGCCAGCTAGTCTATCGGAGATTGCACGTGTGATTCGTGTGTAGCTTATTTAGGATCATTATTTTTGCAAGGCGTGTTATGAGCATTCTTTGAAACGCCGATTGGATTCTCAATGTGTCATTCGAAAATTGAAAGCACAACGTTTCAGTGAAATCTAACACACTTCTTGTATTAACAGAGAAACTATGTAAAAATCGCATCAAGCATTCAATCAGGAAACGCTCCGTAAACGTTTCCATCGCTTTTGCCGCGCTGCGTTCTATCAATCTGATTATGAGGTTTCCGAATTCCGTCCATCTGTTCGACGGTGCAGTACGGTACGGATCACCCGTCGTATCACCCGTATACCATTTGCACGCGTCTGGCCCCGCCCGCCTTGTGCTCAGTAGACTGCTCAGGCATCGGACACCGCACCTCATTACGCAGCGCCGGCATATGGCCACCGCCCGGCCGGTGCCGGTCCGAATCTGCACCGTTCGCCGGCCGATATTGTGGGCTTTGATCGATCGGACCCGTGCTGTCAGTCGAGACAATCCTTCAGGGCGGTCAGGTGTCTAATCTGGACCACTCTGGAACCAAGCGTATGGTATTGGTGATGTTTGGACGGCTCTGAGCGTTACAAATAGCGAGCAATCAAACCATGGAGCAGCTGGTCTTACTTTGGGTGCTAGAGTGCTTTCAGTGCATCTGTACCTATGTGTGAACATAGGCGACAATAGGTTGTTATTGCGGTATGTGTGAATGCAATGCAGTTCGTTCGTAATTGGGTTATGGGCTAATAGGTATGGATGGATGGTAATAGGTAATGGATGAATTAACAAACATATGGCTGGTGTCAGAGCACATGACATTGAAGGATAAGAGACATCGGACCATAAGTGGGCCAAAGCATCCATCGGCCCGGTAATCGCCGAGTTCATGGGTGGCCGCCCAGGACAGGCTTTCGAGTTACCTGGACCACCATTAGGGGACGGAGCTCACCGACAAGCCACTTACGTACCCGGTGACCGGGGACTCCGCGGCACGAAAAAAACGACTGAGGATGGCACAGAATCGGAGCGACGCAACGGTAGGAGATCACTGAGAATAAGATTATTGGTTGTGCATATGTTCGAAGGTGCCTGCAGTTTGACTGCACAATGCGACGCATCTGTGCATGATGAGCCTGGGTGAAGGACAAAGGTCACCACTTGCACGTCTGCAAGTGGTGACCTAAATACATTATCGGTAGGTAGCCCAATACGGACTTCTCGAATGTGTGTTGGCAAATCAAAATAGAGAACGCCGATTGAAAGGAGTTCTACAGCGGTAACGAGAAGCTCCACTCGGAAAATGATTTTACAGAGCTGTAACTGAAAGGTTAGCCAATCCACAAGGAAGAACATGCTACGGATGCCAAACACACTCGAGGATGGAGTATGACCCGATTTCCCCTCTCCCGGAGCTATCACAGTACAAGTTTCTGGAGCCCATCGCCAGTGAAGCGTAAAAACAGGACGCACACAGACAGCCGCACACACAGACACAAGCAGGAGTAAATGGACATGAGCCGCAGTCGCACAGAACATGCCAGCAGTCACGCACAATATCTCGGACACACAGTCGGACAGACGAAGGGTCATTAGCACTGCGCACCTGTTCTCTGCGGACGGACAGGACCAGGGTGTCTAGTGCCCGCTGAGGTAGGACCGGGATGTCGTGTCCTGCACGGCCCACCCGGGCTGACCCACAAACCGCCCCTACCAGCAGCCGAGCCGAGCGCGGCCGGCCAGGAAATGACTCCCGGTCACAGCCGAGCGCCGCCCGAACGGCGGCCGGCCGGCTCCCCACTCTCGGCAGAGACGGCGGTAATGACCGCGGGCTCATTATGTATTTACGGCTGACAGCTCAGCCGCCATCTCCGGCCGGCCAAGTGTGCCGACCGTCGGCGGCTGGTGACGAGAACGACCGTGTTTACAATCACTGTCAAACTCACTGAACTCCGTGAGACAATCGGTGGACGTCTCCGGTTCATTAGCTGCTGCACTAGGGTGGTAGGGGTTCCGGTGCCTGAGCTGATACACCAGCATGTAGGCTGATCTTTCCGAATTAAACTTTTTAGCGCATTCGGCGTAACAAAATCCGTGTCGGTGGGCGCCGTGCGCTGGTTGCCCACAAATGTGTTCAACTGTTGAGCCAACAACCATCCTCCTAATGGTGTGGTGCTTGCTTGTGTCCCGTTACTTTGCTCGCGATTTGTGAGATGTCCCGAATCTGGGTCGGATCCGAGCTGAATCTTGGCTAAATGTGGCCTGTTTTAATAGACATTTTGATAATACGGACCCGAAGTCGAGTGGACTTCTGCGGAGCCATATGTGTAGGAACCATTAGTTTATCGGTGTGACAGTGCTGACGAATTGAGCGATGCGAACCATCGGACGAACTAACCCCATCAGCCCAGACCCAGCCTTGATTCAGCAGACCTGACCGGACAGAGCTAGATCTAAGCAGACCTTATTAGAAATGAACGGATCTGGTCAAGTCGGACCGGACGTCCGGGTGTCACCAGATCTTAGCGGATCTGACCGAATCAGAGACATTAGCTGAGCTAGAGACCATCTAACCAAGAGGCAAAACTGGTGATAGCCACCCGGCTTCTCACAGCGCAGGTAAGTGGACAATCGCTTAGCATAGACGAGGAAGCTGATGATGCGGATATTCAACACTGATCATTGCTCATTCCCACATCCTCAATCCCATTCATTCTCCAACACCAAACACGATAACCCGACCGTGTGAATGTATTCTAAACATGTCGTCCCGTAACACCGGACATGTCACCGTGCACCAGTCACCGTTGGCAGCAGAGCAGCAGGCGGGGGGCGACCGAACGCGGTGGGTCGGACGGAGCCGGCCGGCCGACCGCGCCAGCCGCCCCCCGCCGCGGTGGAGAGCGGGCGCCAGAGGGCCGGCGCACGAGCGGGGCGCCGGGGGCCTGCCGGGGAGGGGAGCGGAGTCAGTTATGGCACATGGCATATGGCTTGGTAGTCAGGTGACGGGTCTAATGGAATGATAACACAAGTCTAATTTTGAAGGTCATAAATTACAAGATGTTACTGGCAACTGTTACTCCTTTCCTCCTCGCAATAGCATAGCCTCGCTCATGCGTAAAGTCGTCTATAGATAAAAGACCATTATTCAACCAATTTCCAAGCTCGAGACCTGATTACCCCAGTCAGCCACTCCGTAGTGGTGCTCAGTTGCTCACCTAGCGGCGGGGGCCGCGCTGGTCGCGCGGAGGGCCGCGATTGTCCCGCCGGTTTCCCCAGGCGCCGCCGCCGCCGCCGCCGCGGCCGTACCCTCCCTGCCCGCCGCCGACGCGGTCGCCGCGCGGGAACGGCGGCCGGTCGCCGAAGCCGCGGCCGCCGCCGCCCCGGCCGTAGTACATGTCGCGGCCCTGCTTCATCTCCAGCAGGCGCTCGTTGTTTTCGACAAAGTTGGCGAGTTTGTCGGCCAGCTGGAGGGCCATGGACTGCAGTCGGCTGGGCTCGGTCCGGTGCATCACCACCGTCTGAGACGGCTCGTCCAGGGAGGCCTGTGGCGGCGGCGGGGCAGGAGCGTCAGACCAGCGGAGATGCGAGACTCCACCGCGTGCGTAAAATGGTACAAATAGTTAGTCATACCTGACCTCACCAAACCCGAAGACACATGAGAGAAGAGCTAGTTATTCAATAAAAACTTACTTGCAAGTTACTCAATAACCAAATTAATTTAATGAACCGCTATCATGTAACTCCATGCCAGCACATACAATAACCGCGGCTGCTTCCCACTCCCCTCGCTCGCCGGAGTTTGCTCACCATCAGCTCAGCGTTGATGATCATCTTGCTGACGATGCTGTGCACGTCTCCGACGGAGAGCTCGAACAGCTCCGACATGGTCACCATCGACACCGAGTCGTACACGTTGCTGTAGGTGAACAGGTAGGTGCGCAGCGTCTCCTCCTGGATCTTGCGCGTCAGCATGGCACGCACCTTGTCGGCCCGAGGCTGGTCACCGTTGTAGAAACGGTCCCACACCTGGCCGGCGGGCGAAAAGACACAAGACGTTAGACGTGATACATCAGTTACAGACGAAATTAAACACAGTACATCAGCTGCTGCGACAACGAGCCTCTTGAAAAATGAATGAGGATACTACAAGCAGAAAGGAACATGCGATGTTAGATATTAACCCGGCAGGCGGTGGGCCTCCCGGCCACCTTCCGCGCGGTGGGGGGGGGGGCATTTTTTGCCCCCCCCCCCCTCGTATCTCGGAAACTACTGGACGGATCCGGAAAATTAAAACGGCGTTCGATAGCCCTGTCAAATTTGGTGAAGGAAACCGAATTTCATTGACCTCGGGGTCACCGATAACGTCAAAGGTCAGGTCAAAGATAAAATGTTTCACCGTTCACGGGGCTTCTAGGGAAAGCGCTATAACACCGAGTAAAACGCATTTTGTCGAAAATCAGCGATAGGGCATCAGTTGTCTAGTACATATGTTGCTATAAGAGGTCACTGGTCATACCAGTTCAGGTCACAAGTCAGGTCACCAAGGGTCACCACATGAACCCAACTTTACTAAGGTTGTGCGATGCATGTTCTATGGCCAGTTTTTCATTTCCAACTCAATGGTGTTGGTTATAAGACCATCAGGTACGGTTTAGGTCACTTTCTGGTGGGGGTCAGGTCAAGGCCAGGTCAAAAAAGGTCAAATTTCAAAGTTGATATTTTTGCATAAAATGGGTATTGATTCGATGCAGCTCGTCACGGGGAGTCTAATGGTGGTCTTTGTTTTGCGCTACGAGGTATAGAATTGCTAAAAATTGAGTTTGAAAATTTGACGTCATCAATTTTGAAGTTTTTTTTTTTTTTTTTGCTATAACTTGGCCAAAAAAGAGGTATCGATCTCAAATTTGGTATGTTGATAGAAGACGTTAGGGACTATCAAATATATTCCGGTTTTTCGAAATTTAAACAACTTTTTGGATTTTTCGGCTATTATATTCAAAAAATCTCTTTTTTATTTTTGGGGTCAAAATCCAAAAATTTCAAAAATCCGAGATAGCAGTTTTGTAGTCCTCTTGATTCTACACCTTTTATGTCTGAAACATTTTTCTGTATCTCTAAAGCTGTAGTCCTGACAGCTCTTCCCGTGAAACCTTTTTTGGGTCGAAAATGGCAGAAATTACGTCACTCTGACGTCATTTGCGGCCAACCTATCATAGCATTTGGAAAAATTTTTGGTCACAATGTGCAATAGCTATTCACGGGAGGGTACTGAAAGTTTGGTGACGATCGGCGCAGCGGTTCTCGAGATATATCGAAAAAAAAAACTAAAGGTGGGCAAAAAATTACCCCCCCCCCCCCACCGCCTGGAAGGTTAAGGAAATGTGCCTTAGCCGGTTAATTTCGAATTCGTTTCAAACATAAAATTTCATCAAAACCAGCCAAGTCTATCACGACGTACGATTGAATCATAACTCGACATTCGTCAAGTCGACACGGATTCTCCGATAACCACCCACCTTAGCGTTCATAGTTTTGTCGATGACGAAGTCGCGGCAGGCCCGCCAGTCGCCGCGCCGCATCGCCTTTGAGGCGGCCACCACGTGCTCTCGCATCAGCTCGGGGGGCCCGAGCAGGTCGTACTTGAGCGCCGAGTTGCGCAGCTGGTAGTGGAACGACTTGGAAATCAGCCGACGACGGGCGTCAAACTCGTGCGCTGAAACAGACGGGTGCGGAGGGTTAGAACGGATATGGGTACGTAAATATCACTGCTGACAATGCAGCCGTCAAAATTTCGGAACATGTCGCAATAAAATAATGGTATAGCAAACAAAGCAATAAAGACCCACGCAGGCCCAGCTAATTTTGGAAAAATAAAGTACCGGCACGGAAAATGGTCGGTAAGCAGATATTGTTTCAGGCAATGTACGCATGAGCTCCCCGCGTGTCCTTGGTTTGCGGACCCCGCCCGCCGTCGTCAATGTCATCCCTGTAAGACTCACCAGCCATGTAAGGCACCTCGATGAGCATGGCCGACACCAGGTAGACACACTCGAGCAGCTCCAGGTTGATGTGCATGTGGTAGGGCATCTCTCGCAGCTTGTTCAGCTCCTCCTGCTCCTGGGTCAGGTCGTCGCGACGCTGGAACAGACACCCCGGGACGTTAGACGGACATCTGGCACCTACGTGGTGATTGTGGGACTGATTCTTTTGCATTGTATCAACACCGATACTTAAAAGCTTGCTGTATAAAAACTCAGACTCAGCAATAACCCCCGAGAAGATAAGGCGGAAGGTCACGCTGTTCACGCGGTCACGCGTCCGCGGGAAGGCCCTAAGTGGCACGCTGTTGAGAGGTACAGGGTGTCTCAAAAAAAGTGTCACGGTTTTGAACATCTCCCATTTCCTAACTACATGACCTACATCGTTCAAATTTTCCTGAATTAGTGGCAATAGTATGACATTTTGTGTGGCAGAATTTCAAGTTCTTAGGCAAAATGGTTTTTGCAACGGAAAAAAATCAAAAAAATCTCAATTTTGGGTGCTATAGGAGATGGTATACGTCACTGTCTGCCGACGATTTCGGTAAGACTTCGGCTTTTGCTTGTTGCACCCAGCAACGTGCTCGTCAGTAATTATCTACAACTATAAGAAACCAAAAACTGGCATGCAAAACAGACAATGGAATCGCAATCACCCAGTCTCAGGACAGCGCGGTTGCCATGCCTGACTCTTCCGTCAAAAGCTGCAGTCGCTGACACCGTGCAAAGGACTTGTGACACACTGCACATTGCGCACACCCAGAAGTTCTACACGTTTGAGTGGGAACTTTAAAACTATCCATCAGCTATCCTTTATTAGAACAAAACCGTGTTTCGGAACAAAACCGAGTAGAGGATTTTGTCATCTAAGACGCCGTCGACTGTCGAAGCATGGAAACTCGCGTCGTCTGAAAATCAAGTGTTGATCGTTGCCCAATTTAGGGTTGTTCAAAAAAACCGAATTTTGGAAAAGTATATGGGCTCATGGCTCATGTGGTGCGGTATTCTTTTCTGAGACCAATGATGCCCTTTTTTCTGAAAAGTATTAACTGTTAGGGGCTCCTCAAACGGCTTAAATAGGACCATGTTACGCCCGCCGACCGGCCTGTGTCAATAAGGGCGAGAACTCGACGCCGCGCGCCGGCGGCAGCGCCTTATCGGCACCGCGCGCCACATCTGCCGGGCGGCCGGCTGGGCGGTGGGAAGTTATAAGTGCGTGGTCTTATTGCACACGATCGGGGTGAGCTATCCCATGTTTTCGGGGCGGAAAGTTTCAGTGCAGCATCGGTGCGTCTGCCACGGTGGTCTGTGTCGATGGTATAGAAAATAACTCAAGCAGAGCTCAGAAAATACTGAATGATTCCGGGTAGTTGCCTCGAAACAATCCGTTTTAAGAATACAGCTGCCTTCTTAACGTACCGTATCACTTGTTAATTCTTCAAAAAGCAAACTCTGAGCAATAACACACCTCTTTGCATTACTGTTGACAATTTACGTTAGTTTTTGACGGTGGCTCGCACCCCCAATATGCTGCCGCGCAACTTTATTCCAACGGCGAAACGGCAACTTCGCGAGAATCGAAAATTCACGATATACGTACAGCAGGGGCTGGCAATGCAGTATGCACAAGGACAGAATATGGAGGATACCCGACAGTCATCGGCCCAAGTTTGGGGGTGGCTTTGACGAGCATAGGCGTCACCAATGTCATTATTCAGATACGTTGATGTCAGATGCTGGGGCAACAGAATCGACGCCAGGTGTAACTTAGATTAGCGGGTCGAAAGAAAACATAACATGTCTGGGAGTGACAGGGTGGCCACCCTGACAGTGTGACGAAGTGAGACATGAGTAGAGACATTAGCCGGAGTACCTACTCATATAAATCAAGCGCCGTTTATCCAATCCTTCGAGCATAAGCGACGCCGGCAGTTCGGCCAGGGCGGCCGTGCCCACCGATGCCGATCAAGACCCGAATCCAGACCCGGCATAGAACACAGCTCTGCCCTGACGTGACACATTACCCCGGTGTGTCACTCATGACGGATAGACCAATGCAGGAGCCTTGCCAGCTCCTGTTGTACCTACTTCGTTAATTTTTCGATTCTCGCTAAGTTGCCGTTTCGTCGTTGGAATAGAGTTACGCGGCAGCATATTGGGGCTGCGAGCCACCGTCCAAAAGCAACTTAAATTGTCAACAGCAATGCAAAGAAGTCTGTTATTGCTCAGAGCTTGCTTTTTGAAGAATTAACAAGTGATACAGTACGTTAAGAAGGCAGCTGTGTTCTTGAAACGGATTGTTTCGAGGCAACTACCCGGAATCATTCAGTATTTTCTGAGGTCTGCTCGAGTTGTTTTCTATACCATCGACACAGACCACCGTGGCAGACGCACCGATGCTGCACTGAAACTTTCCGCCCCGAAAACATGGGATAGCTCACCCCGATCGTGTGCAATAAGACCACGCACTTATAACTTCCCACCGCCCAGCCGGCCGCCCGGCAGATGTCGTGGCGCGCGGTGCCGATAAGGCGCTGCCGCCGCCGTGCGGCGTCGAATTCTCGCCCTTATTGACACCGGCCGGTCGGCGGGCGTAACATGGTCCTCTTTAAGCCGTTTGAGCAGCGCCTAGCAGTAATACTTTTCGGAAAAAAAGGGTATCATTGGACTCAGAAAAGAATACCGCACCACATGAGCCATGAGCCCATATACTTTTCCAAAATTCGGTTTTTTTGAACAACCCTATTGCCCATGTTTGTGGCTGTGTTTCAGCTTGCTGCTGTGCTCCAGATGGCAGTTGTACACGGTGTTCGTACCTATAAAGGTTTCAAAAATGTATTGATGAGCTTGTTTCTGGGATTCATCAGGCGAAAGGGGCCTAGACTCTTCAGGATCGACGGCAGGCCGTGACGTACCATCTCCTACAGCATGAAAATTGAGTTTTTTTATTTTTTGTTCTAGTGTAAAAACCATTCTGCCTAGGAACTTGTAATTTTACCACATAAAATGTCAGATCATTGCCACTAAATCTGGAAAATTTGAATGATTTAGGCTTTATGGTTACGAAACGGGAGATGTTCAAAACCGTGACACTTTTTTTGAGACACCCTGTATCTGTCGACCGACCGGCAGTTGCGAACGCTGTACACATTCCACCGTAGCGGTCAACCGTCGCGTTCAATAGCGTATGTACCTGACTGCTGCCCTGGGCGAGCAGCTCCTTGACGCGCGGACTGCTCTGGATGTCGAGCAGCGCATTGTGCGCCTCCCGGATCTGGGAGTTGCGGAACGCGCACAGACCCAGCTGCACCATCATCCGGTTATAGTGAATCTGTGGACAGCGGGTAGGCGGTGATTATAATCTGCGGACGTCACGGGGCGCGCCTCGGACAACGCAATCACAACACTAAGAAAGAGAAAAGACGTGGCAAAACCTCCACGCATGGTCCACTGCATACTATCTGTTCGAAGCGAGCGATTTTTCGCAATTTCATCGTGGCTCTTCCCTACGGTGCTAGCCCCTTCCCTTCATTGACGGTGCGCAATGCGCATTACGTTATCTCTCACCTTGGTGACGGGGTCGGCGTTCTGGATGTTGGTCTGCAGGTGCGACATGAGCATCAGGTCGCGCGCCTCGTACCAGTGGTCGTGCAGCGCGTGGTGGTAGATGTGGTAGAGGATGGCGCGCGTGCGCAGCACCGCCGTGCTGTCGTTGCTGTAGATGTACTTGCAGCGCCGGTCCACCTCCTGCTCGCTGGTCGGCTCGTCGGCCGGCACCTCGCCCTGGTGGGGAGGCGGGACACGGGAAGTGGTCAGTAGCTGGTCGAAAACCACACCACAGCCCATGACTCACCATACATCGTGAAAGCATGCCGTCAGGCTGAGTCTTCATGTTACCGTTATGTTTTACATTTATATTTTATACTGTAACAATTCCTGGCGGACGCCTCTTTTACCGTACTTTCACCACCGTTAACACATCGCCAACCACCACCATCGTACGTCACCATCGCTGGCCAACACAAGGCTCGCCATCCCTGCAGTTTCTCCTCACCTCTGCCTGCTGGAAGATGCGCTTGTCCACCTTGTAGTAGATGTGCTCCACCTGCTTCAGGTAGCCGCGGCACATTTCGTGCGGCGTGGTGCACAACTCCACCACGGCGTCATCGGCCTTGGGCAGGCGCGACTCGAGCAGCTGGACGGCCTTGTCGATCAGACGCACCATCCGGTGCTCGTCGCGCAGCCTGAGCAAAGTAGGAGCTCCGTTAGTGGGGGAGGGAAGAGCGGGAGGGGCGACGGAGGTTTACACGCCGGCGCGGAAGGAATGACTGATGAACTCTATGAAAGATAACAAAAAATAACAATGAAAATTCCATTGTGACCCTTCAGAAGTTAAGCTTCATTGACCCCTAGATGGAATTTTGAACATTTCACGTGGATGAACAGGGCAGGATCGTATTCGATAATGAAACTAAATCCACAAATACAGGCTCAGTATTTCGTCCAAACACCCAGCCTCGTCGCCAGTCATCACACACATCCCACCCTTTTAAACCCCGCCACTCGTCGCGGCACGCACCTCTCAAAGTACTCGTTGCTGTGGGCGTCGCAATTTTTCAGGATCTTGACGAACTCGTCGTCGAGCCGCTCGACGACGGAGAGGATGCAGCCGCGCACGCGGTACGGCGGCTCCTCGAGCGACTCGTTCTCCTCGAGGATGTTCTCACCGACGATGACGTCCGGCGTGGTGAGCAGCTGGTCCAGCAGGTCCTCCACCCGCTGGTTCACCTGTTCACCGAACGGACCGGACGGTGTCAGCGCAGCCAGGTCACACACGACACTTTAAACCCACAATGCACCAATTGAGGGACAAGAGCTCTGACCTTTGCGCCTGATCACGTGACGGTCATATCGCTTATCGACGGTGCCGCTCCTCCACCCATCGCCACGCCTCACGTCCCTACACATCACCTCTGTCACTCACCTTCTCCCAGAGGTCGGGCTTCATGGCGTACCGGATGGCCAGGTTGTAGTCGAAGATGGCCGCCGTCAGACCGAACTTGATCTTGACGATCATGCCGGGCGTCATGTTGTGCTGCTCGGCGATGGTCAGCAGCTCATGCAGCAGCTCGATCATCTCCCGCCGGTCGTTGCCCTTTTTGCCGCGCGCCGCGCTGATCTCGGCGTACTTTTTGTTGACGAGGTTCAGCGTCACCTCGTCGTCCTTGGCGAACATTTTGAGCTTCTCCTTGGCGGTGGGCGCGCCCTTCTTGACCTTCTCCCAGTCGCCGTCCTCATCCTCGTCGTCCTCCTCCTGCTGCCGGCGTCGCTCGCGCTCCTCGGCCCGCTGGCGCTCCCGCTCCTCCTTCTTCTGGCGCTTGCGGGCCTCGTCATCCTTATCGGTCGACCTGGGGCGGGAGGATGAATACGATGAGCGGGTAGACACACGAGACACGGTGCAACTTGATACACGGTGTCGATGAAGCTAATGCAAAAATAAAGTGGCTCGATTTTCCCGACAATGCAGCGAAAGACTTCGGCACTAATGCCAAATCGCGTGTGACTCGTAGCCTATGAGAAACCACAATTAACAAATTACACATCCCGAAAGAAAAACTGGCGAAAACAATACGGAGATCAAAGAGATGTCAGGCAGAGCTTGACTCGCACGCGCCTCATGCTGGCCACTGGTCCCTGTCATTACATCATCACTTTTTTAAATAGCATACCCTTGTGCTCTACTGTCCTACTGGTCCGGCCAAATGGTACTCACTTTTTGAGGAAGTAGTCGCGCATGCTGGGGTACTGGTCCTGGTCGTCGTCGCTGTAGTCTGACTCGTCCGAGTCGGAGCCCCAGTCGATGTCGTCGCTGTCCGAGTCCGACTCGTCCTTGGCCTTGCTCATCTCGCGCGAGCGGGACGGCTCCTTGCTGGTGCCCGTGGAGGGCGCCACCTCGGCGTCGCTGGCGCCGTCGTCCTCAGAGTCTGAGTCGTCAGAGTCTGCCGGCACGCCGGGGCGGTGGTGAGACGACGGCTGGCGGCGACACGGACCGCCGGCGGCGACACAGACGGCTGGCGGCGACACGGACCGCCGGCGCACTCGCCTGCCCCCTACATACTGTAACGCCTAACAATTAAAATAAGACTACAGTTTGAACTACACAGTTTGAGCTTCATCGGATTTTTTCAGTTCATGCATCGTCCCGAGATAAAAGTTCACCCACCCTTTCCCATTAGAAGCATTCGTGACACCATGTCCAGGATGTTTTCCCAAGCCCAGGCCCCAGCCGCGCACCGCTGGCACCCCGGGGAGGGCGTCACCCACCTTCGGCGCGCTTCTCCTCCTCGTCGCTGTCCGGCAGGTCGGGGTTCTCGCGGAACTTGGCGATCTCCGCCGCCATCTTCTCCTCGCGGTTGTACTTGCGCAGCTTCTGGCGCAGCGTCGCCAGACTCTTGGACTGGACCTTGGAGAGGTTTTTCCTGGAGTGACAGCGTTTCGGTCAGCTATATACACCGTGACACCATGATGCCATTCTGTTCTAAAGGAACGAATACGAACAATAATTGATAAATAAACGCGTCCATTTTGAGTATCTACACATAACCTAGCTAGACTGGCGAACTTTGAAATACAAGAAGTTCTCTCTGAAAGCCGTATAAAATTGCATCAGCCGACATTGTTCGGATAAAGCTCGATGTCGTGAAGCCTCTCGCAAACACCTAAGGTCGCAATGCAATACGATCACTGCGGACGGTGCACGAACCTTGCGTTGCGGTCCTCCCAGACGGAGTTGATAAAGTCCTCGCCCTCGGCCATGCAGCGGACGTAGAAGCGCGGCACCTGACCGCTCTCCTCCTTCTGGATCACAGTCTGCGCCTTCGTGAACGCCTTCCATAGGTCCTCAAAGTCTGAACACACAGACGACAATCGTTGTGGACAAAATGCTTTGAACTAACGGTACATTCGACATCGAATAATGAGGAGAAGTGTTAGAAGTCCAAACATAGATAGTTAAATAACACTTATATCATATAAATTTAAATTAATAATATAAAGATGAGATTCAATTAATAATATAGAGAATACTCAGTTACGTCCTGAATCGCTATCCTGTATGCTAGCTAGTTCGTGAGGTGATAAATGGGAGCTAACAGCGAGGTCAGGAATACTTACTGGTTAACAGTGAACCAATGTCCCTGTTCTTCCGGAAGTTCTTGATATTTCTAACATAGGTTTTCAGTTCCTCATAGCGCTTCTCCTTAGCGGACCTGACCACGCGCTTCGTCTCCTCTTCATCATCGGAGAACTGAAGAGAGACACAAATGAAAACATTAGCTAATAACGAATCACATATACAGTCAACAGACACTTCAAACGTTTCGATGAAAATACGTTTAGGATTCGGATGACAAACGAGCAAATAAGTACAAGCGAGACGTGAACAAGGAATGAAACAACACAATTATGATGGAACGAAAATAGCAGTATGGTCGAAACGAAATCACTTGCATCAACTCGAGCGAGAGACGAAACGAAGACAAAACTCGGAAACACTCAAGAATAACAGTCAGTTGCAGGCCGGTGGCTCGAAGCTATAACTGCTACAAAACAAAGGACCCTCAACAAATCAGCCAGCATGGCAGTCTGTAGCAGGCTGTGTGTTCCACCGCAGTGTTTTCGGTATCACTCACGGCGAATGCGGCGGCGGTGAGCTTAGGCTGCTGGAACCGCTCCGGCTCGTCACTCTGGGTTGATTCCGAGTCCGAGTCGGACCCGGCGTCGAAAAAACGACTCATAGTGCCAGTCTGAAGATTGGAAAAGCAATACACATCATCATTACCACGCATCAACTACTGCTGAGCTGTGAGCATGACAGGCAAACAAACGAAATCAGCAGGCGAAACAAAAACTTTTCCAACATCTCTTTTCAGATGCCAAGCTGATAATATTCTCACTGGACTACCTGATCAAGCACACATCCTAAGAAGTTAAGCAAGTTCATACACATTGTTACATACACAATAGCTTTACATGTCTTATAATCTGCGCATGTTATTATGCAGCTGAATTTCGACTTTCAAACACCAAGAAAAAATGGACTAACAAAACCTAAGAATCCATGTTTAAAGCCATTAACATTTATTTTTCAGTAGAAGGAAGCACATAAACCTAAAACAAAACAACAAAAACTTAAATGGTATTGATGGTTCCCAGCAAGATCATCCTCAGTGCGGTTTTTAGAATATGACTGGAGGAGTGAAAAAAAAACTTTGAAAGTAACTATGACACACTTAGTATTCTTGTACTTGATATCTAAGCAAAGGAAGCAGCTAGCGATGTGGGGTTATTGCATCCTATGGGGCTTGTAGAGGTGAGCTGAATGGTATAACAATCTCAATTTCAATAAAATTGGCACTAAGGATATTCTTGCTGCAACCTCACAGCTGAAGCACTTTTTAAATCCGTTCTTTCTTGGGTTGCCAGACTATAGGTATCACACATTTGTCTGGTCAAAATATTTTAATGATCAACCTCATGTTTGGAAAAGTTTAAGGTTTAGGTTGACATCAGATAAGCTCAACGGCCTTGAACTTATTTTTATTGGTGAGCCATGTATCGCATGGGTACTTGTAGGTGCTGATAACAAATGCAGCATTAGGCCTCTAAGCCATGATGCTGAGAATTAGGAAAAGCAAACTAATTAAAGTGACCAATAAGTGACCAAAGTGACCAATGACTTCGAAATAAAGCTGCTCCAATCACTGGCAGATCCAGAAGGCAGCATTGGATGCTGTTGGGGGCATCTCCTCCCAAAAAAGTTTCTCCAAATTAAAAAAAAAACTACTCATATTTTGATTCCTTAAACAGTATGACTGAAGTCAGTGTAACACAATCTTTTCCTAGTAACCGTTGTTAAGTTTGCTTTTATCATTAAATACTGTAACTTTCATTGAATTTGGATGCTGCAAGGGAGCATTTGTTCCTAATGCCCACCTGGATCTGCAAGTGGCTTCAATGATTTTTAATCACTGCAATACTCACCACATCTTCCAGTGAATATTGCAGTTCAGCCAGATTGGAAAAACTTTGCAGAGACTACAGTAGATCCTACCACACCATACCCAAGTTTTAATGAATTCAGTTTCTAGCACTTGCATTGAGGCTGGTACCTAAGTAGTTACTCACAATAACTTTAAAAAATGCATAGGTTCCAGTGAACATTGGTAAATGTAGAAAAGATTAAAATGGACTTACTCCCTACAAAGTTTGTTAACTCATTGGAACTTTCAATATGTATTAACTATTAACCCTCACCCGTATGGGGGGGGGGGGGATCGAACGGACCCCTCCCCCTCGGTTTTTCGCGAATAACTCGCGTAAAAAGCGGCCGATCGCGACAAAATTTCAGTACCCTCGAGTTGATCAATTTAACACCTACTCTGAAAATTTCATGACCCTGACCCAAACGACCTTTGACCTGTGACCTACTTTTCGAGACCATGTTTGGCCGGAATCGCGATTCGGCGTATGTCGGCTCGCATTAGCCGCGCTTTTGCAGTCTTTTCGTGGTTTCAAGCGTTCAAACATGTGATATGATGTTGCCCCCATTCATTAGGGTGGGTGTCAAGGCCACCTGAAGGTCAGGTCAGGTCATTGACCTTTGATGAACTCGGTTCACTTTTTCGAGTTTTACATGTTTCCAAGCCAGTTTTTGGAGCTGAATTCGAATTTAGCAACCATAAGAACATTTACGAAGTTGTCTTGGTGCCTTCGTCACATGTTACGAAGCTGTCAGAGGCGGTTGACACCTACTACGAATACCCGGCAAGACCCCTACTTGGATGACCTGACCTGACCCGACCTGGCCTAAATGCATGTAGACATCATCTGTGATCAAAACTAACATGATATTCGTGATCAGAACCCCGGAAAACCCCATAGCAGCCACACTTTACAACGTTCTAACAGGTCCCGATTTTCCCGACTTTTGGGTCATTCCTGGCCTGGAAGGTCAAGCAATGACCTATCACCTAGGACCTTAAAATTGGGTATCATCGGCTTTCTCTCGTCACGGGCAACACACTCGTTTTTTTCCGCAAGTTCTAGCTCGATCCGGGGCGAAACGGCAGGGGGGGGGGGGTCCAACGGACCCCACCCCTTATACGTTCCCGGCTGGAAAAAACACCAATACGGGCGAGGGTTAACATATATTGATTTTTGCATTTTAAGAACACACCCACTGTGTTTAACTACTGTACTGACTGAAATCAGAAAAGCCACAATGTTGGGATGATACGAATACATACAATGCTATACCAACATATCTTCATCAGCAATTGTGTCTTAAAAACTTCACTGTGAATTTGATAAAAGCAAATTTATTTACAAATCAACTGCTGACAAACATATGAAAATACATAATGAATGTTCACAGGACCTAGGTAGGTAGGAAAGTACTGAACTTTGTGGAGAAAGTCCATTTGGGCTTTTCTATATTTCAAGTTCCACATTATGTCTTTAAGCCAATTTGAAAATGTGCATTAATCATTCCTTAACTGAAGGAAAAATATTTTGAGCAAAATGAGTGACTTTCAATATGGTATGATCCCTTCGCCATTGCCATACTATATGCATAAAATAGGCAAATCTGGCGCACTAAAAATGGTATGATTTAGTCACAAAAAATGTGAAGAAAAATAGGTTAATATTTACTTTAGTTCTGCCACGCTTTTTAACAAGAAAAATATACATTCTTACATTATTTGATGTCCTGAAATCATATATGATGTTTAAATGCATCATAAATGTAAAGAGTTTCCAAAACACCAGCACATCACAACCCACACTGCATGATATACACCGAAGAAACCACGCTACTGCGGTGAAAAGGCAGCATACAACATTGCCCTATTGAACTTTGAAGTGAAGAATGATGTCAGTATTCATTGGATTTTCGACGTGATGAAAATGACGTCATAATGCCAAAACACAATAAGTTACGTAAAAAAGTGAATAAAAACAGGAAATATTTAGCGAAGCCAATGAGACATGAGAAAATGGTCAGAACACAACCAAACCTCACCTAACCTGACCTACTGATGTTTGCCTACCAGGGGAAAAGGAAAAAGTCGCTCCCAGGAATAGATTGCAAGCAATGGTAAGTCAAATATTTTTAGGTTAAGTGGTTATGCATTGGCATCAGGCAATCTCTCCCATGCATTGCCTTTGCCCTTTGGCACTGCAATGCTTGGCTAAAAGTATTTTGATGCCACTTTCCTTAGTTTAAAATCATCTGTAATATACTTGTACATTCGCTCCACGCTCGACCTTGCTTTATCCATTCAACGCTGGGGGAAAGTTGCGCGCAGACTACATTTCGGCGTGCAGCTCCAGTCGGTAAGAAGTGGGGAGTTGGAGATTACGGTAAGTAGTGTACTGGTGCTTTTTCACTGGTTTGCAGAAGAAATAAGCATCAGAAATGATATCAGGAGGTCTTAGAGTAACTTGTGAATTGCTTTTATTAACCTCTCTGAATGGCGGACCATAAGTAAAAAACACCAAAAATATTCACTTCAAACGCAAACAGTAAGTCTCGCACTGCCTGCGAGATGCCAAAAAAAAAAAACGGCGCCGGCTTTCAAGCTTGCTTTCAAGTTACAAATGGCACAAACCGAGGTTCCAGCTGGAGACGGTCACGGAGCCTTGCATCCGGCACACCTTAGACTGAAGCAAATAATGCTTGCTTATGGCTAAGATAGCTATCAAAAGAAACGCATTTTTTCACTCACTCGACTAAATATTAAAGCATAATAATATTCCATAAAACTCACCTTTAAGCGCTACAAATAAAAGCGCAAACGACCCAACATCCACCAACACGAAAAAGGCCGCAACGCGCTACAATTGTCAGATACAAGTGGATGGGATGTTTTAATTTTTATCCACAATTTGTTTAAATGACGTCACAAATAATTATCTTTTTCAAAGATTCTTTCTTATTTCATCATCAAATTTTCGATAGTATCCTTCATTTACAATTAATTGTGATACATTGACAATTCATAGATTATTTGAAAAGATAGCTGCAAACTGAAGCATTAAACGTCGATCGGTATACTGGGTATACTCATGCATGCAGCGCTTCCATTGGTGTAACAATTATGATGTACTAAGTCCAAAAACAAATACCAAGAGGAACAGTTGCTCTGCTGATTCTTCTACATTACACGCGCTAGCACGCGGCTGACGGCTGACAAGTCAACTACTCATTTGCGCGCTTGCTTGGGAGGAGAGTGGTGTGAATTATAAATATCGGTGCAGTCGCTTATAATATAGCCGCATATTGATACACAACGGAAGCGCACGGTAAGGAAGCTCTGAGCTTATGCCGGGTCATTGTTATTCATATGCTACCTGCAATGTATAAGGCAATCCTAGGCGGGGTCGTTTTTTTAGAAACGACCCCGACGTTTTTTTTAGAAAGATGGAGTCTGATTCTCCGGGAATCCATCGACCCCGCAGCCCTGGACTCATAGGTACTACTTACTAGGCATCTGCTCAACTGCTTGCGCTCGGGCCTCAGGAACTTTACTTGGCATGAGGCATCCATGAAGTCTAAGCACCTTGCCCTCTCCGCTGTCAACACCCCCCTCCCCCCCCTATTTTCTTCTTGGCGCGATAACTCGTGAACACGGGCGGCCGAATGAGTCATGGCAGGGTTCACCAAGCTTTCACCCCTCGCAGCTACCTACTCTAGTAATCACTTATCACTTTTTCCCTATGACAAGCTGCATTCCAATTGCAATGGGAGATGGTGGCTGCCTCGACCTGCCCCGTGTCAGTGTTGCCGCTGGCGCCAGGGCCTATTTTAACATGTTAACTGGGGGGGCAAATGCCCCCGCACTCAACAGAATTGCCCCCCCAGTCGTCGAGATGTGCCCACTATAAAAATGGGCATAAAGGAACACGGTGACAAACATACAACTGTGACTTGTTTTGCAATGGATGTCAAATGAGTCAGTCTGCAAGTAATGACCAGTGGTGGATCCAATGGTGGGTCATATGGGTTATGACCCCCGCCCCCTTTGGCCCGGGGACACCACAGGCCTGCCTGGGGCACCACCGGCCTGTCAGGGGCACCACAGACCTGTTGGGAGCACCATCGACCTAGGAAGAGCACCATAGGTCTGCCAGGGGCACCACAGACCTGCCAGAGGCCCCACCGGCCTCGCAGGGGCGCCACCTTGGGCCTGTCAGGGATACCACCACAGGCCCGCCAGGGGCACCACAGGCCTGCCAGAGGCACCACAGGCCTAGCAAGGGCACCACGGACCTGTCAGCGACACCACGGGCCTGTCGGGGGCACCTCAAGCTTGTCAGGGCCAAGGGACACCACAGGCCTGCCAGGGGAACCAGAGGCCTAGCAGGGACACCACATGCCTGGCAGGGGCACCACCGGCCTCGCAGGGACATCTTGGGCCTGTAAGTGGCACCACGTGCCTGTCGGGGACACTCCAGGCTTGTCAGGAGCACCACAGTCCTCTCAGGGCCCAGGGGCACCAGCGGCCTAGCAGAGGCACCACCGGCCTAGCAGGGACACCAACGGCCTCGCAAGGGCATCATGGGCCTGTCAGGGGCACCACGGGCCTGTCGTTGGAACTTCAGGCTTGTCAGGGGCACCCACAGTTCTTTCAGATGCACCGGCGGCCTAGCACCATGGCACCATGTTTGGCCGGGATTGCGATTCGGCGCATGTCGCCTCGCATTAGCCGCTCGTTTGCAGTCTTTTCGTGGTTTCAAACGTTCAAACATGGGATATGATGTTGCTCCCATGCATTAGGGTGGGTGTCAAGGTCACCGGAAGGTCAGGTCAGGTCATTTACCTTTGATGACCTCGGTTCACATTTTCGAGTTCTATAAGATTCTAGGCTAGTTTTTGGAGCTAAATTCGAATTTAGCAACCATTTGACCGTTTGCGAAGTAGTTTTGGTGCCTTCGTAACATGTTACGAGGCTGTCAGAGGCGGTTGCCACCTACTACGAACACCCGGCAAAACCCTTACTGGTTGACCTGACCTGACCTGACCCGACCTGGCCTAAATGCATGAAGACATCATCTATAATCATAACTAACATGATATTCGTGATCATCACCCCGAAAAAACATAGCAGCCACCCTTTACGATGCTCTAACAGGTCTCGATTTTCCCGACTTTTGGGTCATTGACCTGACCTGGAAGGTCAAGTGATGACGACCTAGGACCTTAACACTCGCCGGCACAGGCCATTTTGCGTCCTTCGACGGCACAAGGGGGGTTGGTACGACCCCCCCTCGCGTTTGGCCCCTGATCGAGCTAGAGCTTCGCGGAAAAAACGAGCGTGCTGCCCGTCACGAGAGGAAGCCGATGATATCCAATTTTAATGTCCTAGGTCATCGGGTGACCTTCCAGGTCAGGTCAATGACCCGAAAATCGGGAAAATCGGGACCTGTTAGAACGTCGTAAAGTGTGGCTGCTATGGGGTTTTTCGGGGTGCTGATCCGAATGATATCATGTGAGTTTTGATCAAAGATGATGTCTTCATGCATTTAGTCCAGGTCGGGTCAGGTCAGGTCAGGTCAACCAGTAGGGGTCCTGCCGGGTATTCCTAGTAGGTGTCAACCGCCTCTGACAGCTTCGTAACATGTTACAAAGGCACTAAAACTAGGCTTCGTAAATGTTCATCGGGTTGCTAAATTCGAATCAGCTCCAAAAACTGGCCTAGAAACATGTAAAACTCGAAAAAGTGAACCGAGGTCATCAAAGGTCACTGACCTGACCTGACCTTCAGGTGACCTTGACATCCACCATAATGCATGGGAGCAACATCAAATCACATGTTTGAACGTTTGAAAGCACGAAAAGCTTGCAAAAGCGCGGCTAATGCAAGTCGACATACGCCGAATCGTGATTCCGGCCAAACATGGTCTCGGAAAGTAGGTCACAGGTCAAAGGTCATTTGGGTCAGGGTCATGAAATTTTTAGGGTAGGTGTAAAATTGATAAATGCGAGGGTACTGAAAGTTTCGTTGCAATCGGCAGCTTTTTACGCGAGTTATTCGCGAAAAAACCTTAGGGGGGTTGCATCAACCCCCCCCCCCTGTGTCGGCGAGGGTCGGCGAGGGTTAAAATTGGGTATCATCGGCTTCCTTTCATCACGGGCAACACGGTCGTTTTTTCCACGAAGCTCTAGCTCGAGCAGGGTCGAAACGGCAAGGGGGAAGGTCCAACGGACCCCCCCCCCCCCCCCATATACGTTCGCAGCTGGAAAATACCAATACGGGCGAGGGTTGATGGATTATTAGAGACAATTTTCCAGGTTGCCCCCCCAGTCAAATTCCCTTAAAATAGGCTCTGGCTGGCGCACGTCTCTGGGATAATAATCGTGCAACGTTAATGCTGAACTTCAAGACAAGGCTAGGGTAGCCTGGGGCAAGACGCCCCAGATAATTTATTTTGCTACATAACTTTTGTCCCACATAACCTGGAAGGCCAAATTTGTGCTCAATGCGTTCTTTGGACATTTTACTTTAAAATCCACCCCTCAAATTCATTCACTTATGATCGGACTCCCAGCTAGGAAGTGGTTTGTGAAGCAACTGCAAATAGGGCGTTTTGCCCCAACCCCAGGGCAAAACGCCCCACGGCCTGGGGCAAGAAGCCCCATACTCTAGATTAAAGATTAAACATGCTAGTTGACTAAATCTTATATGAAAGGTCCGTTAGACCTTGGGAGGCATGGCACTGAAGTTAGCACCTTCCATCCTATCAGGTGTTCAGCTACGACACTATTGTATGAGCAGGTTTTTCACCTGCCTCATAAGGCCAAATAATAAATTATTGCAATGCAAATGTTAACAAAATACTTCCTTTGCCATCCAGTTGCTGAGAAAAGTACATATAAATGCATAGAAACATACCGTTCGCCAGCTACCGAACATTAGGAAGTGGGTAGTCCGAACAACACATGAGGTAAAACGCCCCATGGGGCTTTTTGCCCCGCGACCTACTGGGGCGTTTTACCCCATCACGTAGTTCGGTCAGAGAACAACGCCTTGCACTCCAGGAAGACATAATTCAACACGAACCAACCCGGCATTATAAGCGTTAGACAATAGGTGTTCAAAATACATAAAAGTCGTTAACCTAATGTGGACGATAAAAGAACGCCATGATGCATAATCTGACAACAAAACATAAAAATCACTCCAAAAACACATTTTTGGCTACATCTCCCTAAAGAGTCATCACAATTTATTTCCAGTCTGCTCATATAATGATCGTATAGTGCACGTTTTATAGAAGAGAGGATGTTTCCCCAGAACCTTGCCAGTTCCGAGAAACATCGGTGAGGCGTTTTACCTCGGCGGGGCGACTTGCCCCGGTCTACCCTATATATAGACATAGAGCTTCAAGGTTCAGGTTCAAGAATTGATTGGTCCGCGACTCTCGGTGTTTTTAGGTTAGAGGTTGTGCTGACGAATGTGAATGTCTGGGGTGGGGTTCGGTGATCATAGCCTCGGGAGCCGGGGGGGGGGGCAGTGGGGGCAGCTTGCCCCCCCCCCCCCAACTCTGGGGCCGTGGGGGCGGTGCCCAACAGCTTTGAGACGGAATACCACACTTTTTTGCAAATGTTTTCTTTTTTTTGTTGAAAAAGCCGAGGGGTGAAAAATAAGTGGCCTAAAACCGGTGAGAAAACTAGATTTGGGGGTACCCTAGGTTAATCTCTATTATGGTGTGCCCCCCCAGTCAGAAAGTAGTTCCCGCGCCCCTGTCGGTGATGGATTGTTAATGTTATTTACCTCGCCATCCCCACATGTCTTCGGTGAACCAAAGTCTCGGCGTCTACAGTACTGGACTGCAAGGTCCTAGAACTGGACTGTCGCCTGTGTAGTTGCGAGAATCTCGCCAGCGCGGCGCCGAATATTGTGAGCGGCTGCAAACAGTGTTTGTATTCACGTTACCCAGTTTATTGGCATGACAATTGACAAATGAAAACCATACGTGACAAAATGACGCCCTTGATGTACATATCCGGCACAATGAACAATCTGGCCATATTATACCTTACTGCATTATATTCATAGGTAATATAACATACTGATTCTGTACACTCAGAAAAGAATAGGCGGCAACAAGAAGAGTCGGGAAAGCATGTCGACTCGTTGACTACATTAAGTACACGACAGTGAGACTCGATGGCTGGCTCACCCCGCCCACAGCCAGGACAGAATATAAACATTCGAAGCATTTGCAGACTTCCCGTGGGTCTACACGATAGTATGCACTGACAGCTCCAAACAAAGGTGGACCGGATTGTTTTAGTGCGTATTCGTTAAGCATCCTGTTACACATGCAGCATACGCTGGTATGCCACGTCCTTTGGTATACCTGACCATCTGTTTGTACTGGAGGGGAACGAGAGAAGTACTCATCTCAAGCTGGCAGCTAGCAAGCACACAGTGCAGCTTGATACAAACCCGTCCGCCCATGCTCATTCTATGCGGCAAATGACCGAGACTGGACAAAGTCGTCATCACCTAGCCAGTGGCCCGTGCTGCGCATGTAGCCGCACTGCCGCATTTGATTCGCGTTCCGCCAGGGCCGCTACCCGGCGACAGTCTGCCTCTCACAGTCGGTCCGTTTCGGACCACACCGCTCACACGAGCCACACAGTGGCCCGCGAGCAATGCATATGACAGACCGCTCGGCTCTTTCAAAAGCTCCCAGTGTGCGGCGCCCGGCCACTCAGCTGATCTGCATCCTGAGCTGTTCTCACGGTCCTCGCCAACCGCCCCCGAACTACACGGAGTGTCAGACGGCAGAGCCGCCTGGCGGCGAGCCGCGGAACTTTTCGTCCTTGGCGCGGTCGTACTCCTCGATGAACCACTGCTGGTTCAGGTAGAAGACGCGCGACACCAGGTGGTACATGGAATACTTGGCCTTCACCTCGCAGTACATGCCGATGAAGAAGCCGGCGAAGAAGAGCACGCCGCAGACGAGCGTCACCGTCTCGTTGGGCGTCAGCTCCGCCTCGTCGTACATAAGGCGACGCTTCCCCGAGTCCTGTCGGACAGAGATGCGGGGCACACGCGTCAGTCTGGTGTAACGCATTGCACGACAGTCACAGATGGTCTATGAAACAGCTCAGTCGGGCTCATAGAACCGAGGACTGCTGCGGGGCACCCTGCTGTTACATTCGCTGACACGGTGCTTTGGCACGAGGAAAGGCTGCGCGTGCCGACCAGCTAAATTGTAATTGGCGAACCTAAGCAGAGACATTGCCGACTCAATAAATAATGTTTGTGTTCAGTTGTTATTTAGCTTTCCCGCATGAGTGTGACTTCCTGTTGATTGTAGGTGTGATGATGTTCCCTACGCTTTCGTTAGACAGACATTTTATTGTTTAAAATAATGACTTATTGTCGAGGCACTTCGTGGTATTAACAACACAGTATAGGGGTGGGGTGCCAGGGAGGGTGGACTGATAATATTACAGTTTTAATAATTTCCTGCAAACAAGGGTAGTGTCAATTGTCTTGTTTGGTTTATTAGAGCTACAAGCATTGTTACAGATACAATGCGCCGACGTGAATTGCACTGTCTGCAACATAGTTACAATCGGAAGTTCCCGTTACTTTAAAGGGACCCTCCCACCTTAACATTAGATTTGAGTTGAGATAGCCAAAATGGGGTCCCTGGCTCACAATTACCGGTTTCGGCACTCACAACATCGAGAAATGCCTTAAATCGGAAATATTGAATTTCAAAATTGCAGCATTTTGATTCAGAGGGGCTAATGCTTAGGAATACCCCTCTGAATGTGTGACGTCAGCGCAAATATCTAACGATTTTTAAATGTTTGACTAAAACGTTTTGTAGCACGCGGTGGTATTTGCTATTTGCGCGCAACATCTGCCGCAAACGCCGCATTTCTAAAATAAAGTCGCTAGAAACAGCGGAGATCCCAAAAAAAAAGTAAACAAAAGTAAAAGTCTAATATCTTGAAAACCGGTGAATATTTTTCGGTGAAATTTGGTAGATATTCGTTTTCGCTCTTTCTGAACCGAGCGACATCACTTTCATGCCAATTCATAAACTTTTTTGAAGGTGGGAGGGTCCCTTTAATCCATGTCAGACCGTCTCAAATCGGTAAAGGCCCGTGGAATGATCGATCGGCTCCTGTTCAACACTCAATAATTGATGGATTAATTAATCTTGAGCACAGAGCACATGATGTGGCTAGTCATTCGAGCAGCGCGCCCACCTGCTTGAAGCAGAAGATGGTGATAACGGCGCAGGTGATCATAACGATGGCGGTGAGGATGAAGACGGAGTGGAGCACCTTGTCGCGCGTGGAGACGGCCGGCACGATCCAGCGGCCGACGCGGAACCGCTTGTGCCGCTGGTACTGGTACTGGCAGAGCTCACAGCAGGGCGGCCGCTTGGAGCGCCGGCTCGACACCTCGATCCAGTGCTGCCGACAGGAGAGGGGCGCCGCGGGACGGTCAGACGCCGGGGGACGGTCAGACGCCGTGGGACGGTCAGATGTGGGGGACGCTCAGACGCCGGAGGACGGTCAGATGTGGGGGACGGTCAGATGTGGGGGACGGTCAGACGGGCACGGTGCGGTCAGACGCCGGGGCGTGGGCGTGGCGGTACACATCTGCTCATTGTACATTGTGCACCCTTGTGTGCAAAAGGGTTTCAAGTAGTGCAATGTGGATCGAGTCAGGGAGCGACAAAAGCGACTGGAAGACAAAGACGACAAGAGAATTGAGAAGTTGTTGCGGGAAAAAAGAACCTTGCACCTTTTCACTGTTGCAAAAAAATACAGGCGATAAAGACGGCAAGGTAAACGCCATTAAAGGGACCCTCCCACCTTCAAAAAAGTTAATGAATTGGCATGAAAGTGATGTCGCTCGGTTCAGAAAGAGCAAAAACGAATATCTACCAAATTTCATCGAAAAATATTCACCGGTTTTCAAGATATTAGACTTTTACTTTTGTTTACTTTTTGGGATCTCCGCTGTTCCTAGCGACTTTATTTGACAGTGCGGCATTTGTTGCGCGCAAAGCAGAATATACCACCGCGTGCTACAAAACGTTTTAGTCAAACATTTAACGGACGTTCGAAAGCCTGATGACGTCATCAGATTCCCGTAATGGTTAAGAGATAGGGACCACGCTGGTCCCACCCTGCAAGTAAAGGGAAGAAATTTCTTGAACACCATAAAGCTGCGGGGGTTGCGACCAGGATAAATGGTGGTTTCTGAGCCTGGCCGCAAACTTGGCTATCTCAACTCAAAACTAATGTTAAGGTGGGAGGGTCCCTTTAACACGTTTATGTTGTCGTTTGGACTCCTTGCACCCGCGCCAAAACTGCTGTGTTTTGCATCTGAGAGGCGTATGCTCTGGAAGGGTCGCGCCGACAGTTTACGGACAGTTATACCGATGCCAAGGCCAGTCTGTGTGTCGGTCCTGGTGTGGTATTCTGCCTCTCCGCCTAAAAACAGCGCGGCGTCATCTCCGCATCTGATCGGCCTGCGCCGCGGGCCAAACACCGCCTCGGGGCATCCGAGGTCAGCCTCCTCCCCCCATCTGTCAGGCACCCTGCCAAAACGGACGCCCTAACACTTGCATTGACGTAATCCATGGCGTACTGCAATATCGAACATATTTCCACCAGTAATCAACGTCAAGTGTGATGCAAGCGCACTTCTCGAAAGGAGGGTGTTTAATTATTCGACGAGACTAGATTCGTGCTGTCTAAAGGCTGAATTCATTGAGCGAGGACGTGGTTATTTATTGAGGCTTCGGCCTTTGTTTCGCCAGTGTTATGTGCTTGCTCAAAGACAGGTTGCGTAATGCCTTGCTTCTCAGAGGCAGTATTGTTCGTCGTGGTTATATAACAACTGGAAATGAAATAGACTATTTAAAATCGGCATTCAGCACCGTGTGATTAGATATAGTGATGAATGCCTGTCCGGAGCGGTAATAAGAAATGACACGGAGCCGTTCGCTCTTTATAAGTGTGGGCTGAGGAATCAAGTAGCGAAGATCCGGCAGATCTCGTTTGATCAGCACAATTTCTCCTGTGAGTCGTGAACATTAGATCGCTGGTTCGGACAAAGGTCGGCGCCACGCATCACGAAATGAGGCACGATGGCGGCATACCACGTGACTACGTTGACCTCCGTGCCAGTCGCCTTGTTAAGCGGGTTGCTATTGCACGTCTCTCAATCTCGGTCAGGTTCAGCGGGTCGACACTGCACGTCTCTCTGTCTCGGTCAGGTCTGGCGGCATGCCCCACTGAGGGGCCGTGAGAAGGTCGCAGCCGTGTCTCACCATCAGGCAGGCGGTGTGGATGTACTGCATCGTGCCCGCACAGCGGCACGGAGAGATGAGCTCGGCGCGCTCCTCCGACGGCATGTGGCAGATCCGGCAGATGGGCATCGACGCCGTCGACGCAGACGTCGTGAGCGACGGCTCCGAGTAGGAGTGGCGCAGCGGCGCCGGCAGCAGGTCCGCCTCGGCGGCCTCGGGCGCGCCGACCGCCGGCTCGGCCGCCGCCTCGGCGGCTCCCCGCGCCTCCAGGCTCCAGCTCCGCACCCTGCCGGGACCAGAATAGACTCAGCGCTGCGGCCAGCACAGCACAACACGGTACACAACGCGCGGGACACCGGGTGAACGCCCGGCCGCCGCACATACACCGGTCGGGAGACGCGGTGTTGTCGCCGAAGCACGGCGGTCACGTGCGGTCAGCGATCATCACGGGGCCGTGACGCAGGGGCCATTTGGCCACGGGCCGCCGGCCGGTCACGCCCCCGACTTCCTGTTACCAGAGCAGACCCGCCCCAGGGTCGGCCGATTTGCATCAGCGGCGGCCACCGGCCAGGTGACGAGCATTGAGCACTCTGCAGGATGGGACGGGAGGCTTCCGGATCGGTCAGCTGCGCAAATTGGAAGCTAACGGGTGTTTGATCTCGATGCATGCGCAAGATAAGCTCCTTTCGCCTATTAGCCAGCTATTGAAATGGTCCTTTTGGATTTGCCAGGGTCCTGCGGTGTTAAGTCCAATTTCGGCAACCGTTATTGTTGGACTTACTATCCGTCGGGCGTCCTGAGTCAGATCCGTTTTAAAGTAGCCTTCCCAGCAATTCTCGAAGTGTCATCTATAGAATTTGCGGTAAAATGTCTAGGGAATGGGACTATTTTTAGGTCTTTCGCCCTAATGAGGTCCTTGCACCCCTAGACTCCCAACCATACACCACGGCACTGTCTACGGACACTGCCAGTTGGGTATAAACCAACGGAGCTGTTGCCACAGAGACGGCAGCTGGGCAGTGGGATGACGCCAGCGGGACAACGGACACTGTGGGACTTCACAGAAGGGACCGTCCCGGCGCCGCGCCAACGACCGGTCCCTACGCAACTGTCTCATCCGACTCCGCCCTGAGCTCAACGCTCTTATGTAATTAGCCTCAGGGACTATACAGGTCGGTCTCAGATTCATGAACCTTAAACGTTTGATAGTGCGGTTCAATGCAAAGAAGAGTCATCGAGTTTCCCTCCTAAGCTATAGAGCGATTCTCGTAACTTTCCTAGCCCGAGCTCTTCTCCAGTATCGTTTGCAGATCGGGACGGGAGCGATCACTTCGTGTAAATGCACGACCAACTCTGGCACAAGGCTACAGAACTCCGTGAAGCGGGTACTCGCTTTTGCGCCTGACTTTGGCTAGCAACGGTCTGGTTCGACCTATAAGTAAAGTAATCTTGGGTTCGACCGGGCGTTTTGAGGATGGGGAACAAGTCCTAATTCGCGATTATAGCTGTCCGCGCATTGCGTAATTTAATGAGAAAAAAAAACTTAGGTGTATGGATGAGCAAAATGCGCCATTGCTTGCTCCACTGGGTTTAGCGCAGTCCACAGCCGTCGCCGGCATTGATATCTAAATGTTATTGATGGAAAGGGAGCTGTAGACTGTATATTGAAAGTGGAATTTTATTTACTGCCCTTTCACCTTTAAATTACCAATCTTTAGGCTTGATCACGTAGGACGAATGAGTCATTTTAGGTTCATACGTAGATCGACGTCGTTAGGACTAGCGTGCACTGCGCAATGATAAGAAAAAGGGACAGTGTAGCCGTGTACTCGCGTCGTTCGTTATAGCGTATGCGTCGGTGCGCATTGACATAGTTGCCCCTTCGCAGTCAGCAATCAGCATATCACCGCAGTCATCTCTCGGTTTGGCCGTGAGACCGCCCAGCTGGCCTGCTGCTGACTCAACGGTAACAGGGCGGGCGGTGGCGGCGCCACCTGCGCCCTCCCCTGCACGTGCAGATGGGACGGGATATAGGGCTAGAGGGAACACCTGGCAGTGGTGGATACGTACAGGATGACGGGACGGGCTCCCACCCGACAGGAACGGACATAAACCGACAAAATGCTAAACAGAACCGGTATGGCGGGGTAGACGGTTATGGGAAAAGGAGACTGGGTTAGACTGAATATAAAGTATAGCGACAAATCACTACATAGATATAGAACTGATACAGCGGGGCAGACTGCGACTATAATGGCGGCGGGAGACTAATGGATGTTCTATCATGCTGCCTGGCTTATCCCGGAAAGTCACGCCAGTATGCCGAGGCATGACGTCGTTCAGTAATGGCGACTTAAGATGAATGGCTCCGCATGTGATATGATGGATGTGACTGTGGGCAACCCCTCGAGAGCATATGACGGTGTCATTGTTTGTGCTGTATGCTTGGGACGGAAGGAGAAGGTGAGCTGGAATCAGAAACGGACAAATCAGGGATCGCCTCGCCATATAGTATAACCCGACAGTGCAGTGGTGCCACGAGCCGTCTGTTCTGACAGCCTCTCGAACCGTCGGTCGACGTGGCACAGTGGGCCAGGCGCTTCAAAAAAGCGGAATTAAATCAATGAGCACAGCTGCGGTGCCAAAAATGATTCGTTACAGGGTAAAATATCATGCTAAAGCCGAATCCGATATCCATTTTCAAATTTGATTGGTTACGCTAGGTCACTGACCTATGACGTCATTATTTAATTTCTGCGCTGCACATATGCCTGGGACAGGCGGGCACTATGCCGCATTGGCCGCGCGTTTGCAGTCTTTTCGTGGTTTCAAGCGTTCAAACATGTGATATGATGTTGGTCCCATGCATTAGGGTGGGTGTAAAGGTCACCTGAAGGTCAGGTCAGGTCATTGACCTTCGATGACCTCGGTTCACTTTTTCGAGTTTTACATGTTTCTGGGCTAGTTTTTGGAGCTGAATTCGAATTTAGGAACCATTTGAACATTTACGAAGTAGTTTTGGTGCCTTCGTAACATGTTACGAAGCTGTCAGAGGCGGGTTGACACCTACTACGAATACCCGGCAGGACCCATACTGGTTGACCTGACCTGAGCTGACCCGACCTGGCCTAAATGCACGAAGACATCATCTGTGATCAAAACTAACATGATATTCGTGATCAGCATCCCGAAAAACCCCTTAGCAGCCACACTATACGACGTTCTAACAGGTCCCGACTTTCGGCCATTGACCTGACCTCAGAGGTCACCATTTGACCTATGACCTTAAAACCGGGTACCGTTGGCTTCGTCTCGTGACGACCTACACGACGGTTTTTTTCCGCGAGGCTCTAGCTCAATTAGGGGCCAAACGCGAGGAGGGTCGCATCCCCCTGTGCCGTCGAGGGATGCAAAACGGCCTATGCCGGCGAGGGTTAAACCCTTATTTGTCCATTTCGCGCAAAAATGCGCAAAATATTTGCATTGGGCAGCAAGCTATACACCTTGAGGAAAGTCAGGCAGCAAATATCTTCGTGTTGTTCGGTGACGTTTTCTTTACATCCTTATATAAATTCATTGCGTCGTTGCACTACCACGGTTCCGAACAGGCACTGTAAACCCCACCGCTACTAGTAAGCATGAAATAGTTCCCGGGAACTTGAGTACGAGAAACATGCGCAGAAATACCGGCTGTTTTTTTAAAGCTATTTTGTACGGAATAACTTTAATGATTTTACGCTGAGAGCTTTTGAATCGGGGGAACGGAAAATGGTACACAGCAGTCATTTCCATCTCCAGTCGGTAAGTCCTACTTTGCGACGTTATAGCATTATCTGCCTTGACATTGTGGAAAGGAAACTTGCTTATTCGGAAACTTTGGACATTTTTACAATACTCTATCCCATAATTACAGGAATTTCACCGAAGTTGATTTTCGACTTAATTCCGCTTTTTTGATGCGCCTGGCCCACTGTGCGTGGGTCGGTCTGTCGCCGGGCCAGCGGCTCTGACGACGCTCGCGCTGACGGCTCTGGCCCCAGGCAGAGAGCTGCCACGTCACCGAGAAGCCTGGCGGCGCTCCAGCGTCGGCCGATCCGCCGCAAACCGGACCGATCCGGACCGCCGTGCCCACTCCGTGTTCACTCCCAACAACAGCTCACGGGGTGCAGGTGCGTGGCAGCACGGGAGCGGGCCGATCAGACCCCTCCTGCCGGTCAGCCCTCGCCGCCCGGCCCCGCTCGTCCGGGCAGTTTCCGGCTTCCTCTGATCAACTGCCAGCTGTCGTTCCGTGTCGGTCATGAGCTGTCCAATTTAGGGTGTGTCGACAGAGGGGTTTTTCTCACAGATTCGCGTTAGACAAAGATATAAATTGGCGGGAGCATGCCAAAACACTAGCCCTGCAGTTGGTTTTGCGTAAAAATGCGATTTGACGAGGCTCGGGCAGGTCGAAGTTACAGCGAAAAAGTCGCAGTCGACGGTGCTGCCACCTACATTGCCAATAACGGGCACTATCATATCGTTATAATTGGGGTAGTTTCAAATGAGAAATGACTTCTATTTTTGTTCAAACTGCTTAAGAAGAAATAAAACAATTCGGAAACATACATTTTTCCCAAATATCGCGTTCCAATTTTTCCTGTTGAGTTGTTAGGAAAGTGGTAAATTTCAAGGTTGACGGCTAAAAAACGAAACAGGAGGAACAGAGCAGGAATCGCCAAGACGTGCGCCGCGCCGATGCTGTAGCCTGTAGATAAGGGGTGAGCAACAGAACCAGCATACCTAACGATTTTGATTAGTGATAGATATTTTTCTCTAAATGAAAGACTATTAGTAACTCAGGCAAGCCTTCTAATATAGGTATCGACAGGGTTGCGGTAAAAGGTACAATCGATGGCACATTACAATTATTCTGAGTTGGGAAACAACACTCTTCAGATACCTACCATCAACAACCTCACTATCTCCTATATGGGAGCTATTTCATCTGATTCCAGCGCCCTGAAAACAAACAGGTTATCATAAAAAATCTCTGTATTAGCGCCTACCGACATATGCTGAATGACGCTATCAATACCCAACATTTGTAAAAGGTGATTCGCCACACAGCCCGCCGGCGTCGGAGGGGTTGAATCAGTGAGCCAGATTGCCAGCGACTCACCGCTGAACTACCGGGCGTAACAAAACGGACGATGCGACATGACTCAGAGATCATCACAGACGCGACGGTAAGCCGCCAACAGCTCCTCTGATGTACCTATGCTTTAAAAATGTTGGCCAAAATTTAAG